AATGTCAAAGATTATATAGCAATTATTTTAAAATAATGGTTATGGAGTTTTAGTAGTTGTTTTGAAATAATTGTTATATATTCTTGAGATTATATAACAATTATTTCAAAATAATTATTATATAATTTTATTTAAAATCCTCACAACGGCCTCATTATTTAGATATTACACCTTCAAAAGTCTCTCTTCCCCTTGCGAAACCTCTGGCTTTCACCATGGAAACACTCCCCATCATCATGAAACACCTTTTTTGGCATTCCCCCATCGTTTGCTGCTATCATCATGCCTTGGGTCATCATTGATAACCATGCTATCATCATCTTCATGGGTTTCATTGGTTTAAGCAGCTGGGAGTCTATGGGTCGACAATCCGAGTGCTCCTTATCGTCTCTTTGCTTCTCTTCTCTCCCTTCCCTCTTCAATATTTGTCTATTAGGTTTGTGATCTCTATCCCTAATCTTCCTCCATTATCATTTATATTGGGTTTTAGTTGTCTTCTTTCTGCCATGTGCGTTGTGCATATGGGTTTCCTCCATTGTTGCTCTGCCTTTATTTTTTTCATTTATTTTTTATACAAAAACAATATAAATGAAATAATTATGATACTTGTTTTATTGAATTTTCTTGATTTATATGTTGAATTTACTTGCTTTATTGAATTTACTTGCTCTGTTATTGGCTTTTTTGATAGAACAAATTGAATTCTTGCTCTGAATTATAGTCTTTTCCCTTTGGTTTTTTTTTTTTTTGATATTGTGGGTTGTTGTGAGTTATGTGTCATTGCTTTTTTTGAATGACTGAGATTTAAAACAAAAAATTCCACTATTGTTTTGAATAATAGGTTTCTCTCTTTGAATTTGTTATTTGAAATTGATATTGTGATATTGCTTTGTATATTGTTATGAAAAGATAGGGCATTAGGCCCTTGTGTTTCTATATTCTTAAAACACGTGAAAATTTTAAAATTTTGACACCCATTTAATAAATTTTACAAATAAAGTGTTTTTTTTTTCAATTTATATTTTCATATAGGCAATGCAACGATTTCAAATGGCTAATTGATGTCTCTAACAGTCATGATATTCCTCACACTACAAATAAAACTTCTTTAAGTAAATGGGTAATAAATTAACTAATTACATTCATTGTTTTACCAACTCTATTTATTATTTTTGAAAAAGCACCTTGTTGGTTAGTTTATAAGCTTTTATTATATTTTTATCTACCCTTTTGAGAGTTTAAGAACTTTGGTTACTTACTATGCTTTGGTTATTATACTAGTTGCAAGTAGAGTCAAGAAAATGGGCTGAGCCTGTCAGGCCAACTTATTTAAACCCATATGACAGTAGGGCTGGGCCTATAAATTAGATGCTAAAATAGTAAATCAGGCTTAAACGGGCTCGTTTAAGCTCACATATACTTTTTTTTTTAATTTTCATAACTTTAACTCTTTTTAGACGTAAAAAAAATTAAACTACATCTTACTCCACATCACATGTGAGCCCATATTTGTTAAGGAAGGAAGGCAAAAAAAAAAAAACCCTAAATCCCCTAATTCATCTAGATCTTTCAATCTCATATTTCAGTCCATTATTCTCATCTGATTTAAATTGGATATTTGTTGGCTTAGCTAATCCATTGCTTGGTGCCTTGTTGTCATTTTATTTGCGTTTTTAGTTCATTTAGATATTGTTTAGTTAGTTTTTTCATTATTTTTTTTAACTGGATATTATATTGGAATGAAGTAATTTTTTATTTAATAAAAAAATTAAAAAAAATAAAAATAGTCAAAAGGACCTGAAGCTCACAGGGTCAGCCTTGAGCCCACTATATCAAGGGCTAGGCTTCACATTTTAAAGTCATAAAGAGAACTTGAGTTTAAACGAGCTGGCCTTTTTAGGCCCGAGCCCATTAAGGGTCGGCCCTACAGGGTCGGGCCAACCCGTTTTTCCATTTCTAGTTGCAAGCACTCGATTTAAGTTTGTAGATTTAGTAAAAACTTTCAAATATGATCTTAAAGACTATACATATGTCAAGTAGTTGGGTTGAACTAATATAAATTCTTGTGTCAAGCTTATCTCTCCTCAAACTTCACATATTTTAAAAAGCTACCCATTGACTTTGTTTTGACAAAAACATAGTTTTTGCTTTGTTTGGAAAAAAGTTTTGAAAATCATGAATACCCATTTCACTCTTCTCTCATGTTCTAGCTTATTTAAGAAGCATTTCTTTACCAACAACAAGAAAATATCATTTCTATACTATAATTTATAATTATTATAGTTTAATTTTTTTTCTTTAGGGTAACATTCATAATTAGTTTATCTTAAATTTTAAAAATAGTAAAACTAAAATAGTAGAAATACTACATACAATATTAAATTATTAATTTTTATCAAATAATATTTCAATGTTCCAAAAAAAATGATATAAGAAAAATTAAATCACAACTACCTTGAATTAATTTGTTTAAAACTATGCCATAAAAGTCAACAACAACAACAAGAAGAAGCCTTATAATTTCACTTAGTGGGGCTAGCTATGTAGATTATATGATGTTATTATACTCTATTATGAACCAAATTTTTTGGAATATTGTTAATCAAGAGATCTCGTTTAACAATTTTTATAAGCATTCTCTTTAGTCTCCCTTTACTTCTCTTTACAAGGCTCAAGATTATTCATTCTACTCTCCTTAATGGTGCTTCTCATGACCTTCTTTGTACATGTTTGAGCCATCTCAAATGATTTTCTACAATTTTTCTCTCAATAGATGCCACACTCACTTTTTCTCGTATATACTCATTTCAAATTTTATTTTTTTGTGTATGTCCACACATTCATCTCAATATTATCATTTTTGCTACCCCAACTTTATGCTTCTGCTACCCCTTTAAAGTTCAACATTCACTACCTTATAACATAGCCAAACTTATATTATTTTGATAAAATTTTCCTTTAAGTTTATTATTTACCTTTCGATCACAAATAATTCGTTTAACCTTTTTGCAATTAAACCACCTAGCTTAAATTCTATGTACAACATTCCCATCAAATTTCCCATTATGTTGAATAATAGCACCCAAATATATAAACTTTTTCACTAGAGGTATAATCTAATATTCCAATCCCACCTCCAAATTACCATTAACTGACTTCTTATCAAAATTATAATGCAAATACATTTTTTTAGTCCTACTCAAATGAAAACCCTTCGGCTCCAAAGTCTTTTTCCATAACGCAAGTTTATAGTTAATTTGTTCCCTTATCTCTACAATAAAAACTATATCATTTACAAAAAGCATACATTTGAGATTTTCTCTTGAATATGCTTAGTCAAAATATCTACAACCACCTTAAACAAGTAAGGATTTAGAAATGATCCTTGATTAGTTCGATCCTTATATGAAAGTCCTTTATTTTATTACCAAATATTTTTATACTAGTTGTTTCCCCTTATATATATAGGCAACTCAGACCTCTTTCTTCTATACCATATAATTAAAAATAATAAAAAAATTATTTATTCTGTAGGCATGTTTCAAGTCAGTGTAATAATTACACTGAATTTATATTAAAAAAACATTTCTTTTGAATTTGGGTTATGTTGAACAAAGGGGAATTTCAAGTAATACTCATTTCATAAAAGCAACTATAACGAGCAAAAGCCTAAAGGAAGAGCCCATACTAAAAGACTAACATATTAGGCACAAATTCAAAGAGAGAGCCCATCTTAAAAGACTAGCTTGTTCCCCACAATATTTATGAGGCTCCTCAATGTGAGATTTGTGACAATGCCACCCTGTCAAGAGTCGATGTCCTCGACGACTGCACTTCACGGCACTTCACTTGGTCTTCTGCCGATCAGAATCCTTTCGGCCTCTCAATAAAAGCACCAATGTGACGAGTATAAGCTCAAAGGGAGAGTCCACCCTAAAAGACTAGCTTGTTGAGTGGGAGAGCTCCTTACACTTATAAATCCCACAATACTTGTGAAGCTCATTGATGTGGGACTTATGATAATGCCACCCTGTCAAGAGCTGACGTCCTCAACGATTTCACTCCACAACACTTCACTCGACCTTCTACCGGTCAAAATCCTCCGTGAGTAAACCTTTTTGTGACACCAGCCTCTCAATAAAAGCACCAATATGATGAGTACAAGTCTAAAAGGAGAACCCATCCTAAAAGCTTAGCCTGTTAGGTGGTAGAGCTCTTCACACTTATAAATCCCATAATACTTGTGAAGTTCCTTGACGTGGCACTCGTGATAGCAACATACCAACATCTCATGTCTTGTGTTTGGTTTATTTTATTTTTAAATTCCAGATAAAAATATTTAAAAATTAAAATTGTATCTAATATTTATTTTTTATTATTTTGAAGTACTGGCAAGCATGATCTTCTTCTTGGTTTTTTTTTTTTTGACCAAGGCAGGCATGATCTTCATAATTAAAATCTTCAAGACAATGATGGATTTTTCTATAAGAAATCTATTTTTGGAAAAAAAAAAAAAATTCAAGGATTTGGAGTCCAGTCTTTTATTGTGTGGTTACAAAGGGACCAGTCTTAATTGAGTCAATTTTGTCTAGTTTTCTGTTTATGCGGAATGGATTATTTGCGAATGGCTGACACAGTTAACTTTTTTCTTGAAATAAAATTCAACTAGTGGCAAGCAACACTTGTAATGTATTTTGAGGATCAAAGTGCCTTCAATTTGTTCAAGACAGGGTTATTAACATTCCCGGAACAATTTTAAGTCTCTTGATATTTCTATAATTGTTTCTTCTTTCGGTAAAAAATAGCATTAACAAACTATTTATAGTTAGCGATAATTTTGCTACAGGAGGATGGTTTTTGGTTAAATAGATCTTTGACTATTTATGATCGAACGCAGTTTCCTGAAACAAAATAAACATTCTTTTATTAGATCATCATCCACTACATATAAATAGAAACATTCATTAATTTCACTACAAGCGTATTCCTCGTACTAGTGAGTTGCTAAAAGGAAAAGTAGAAGAAACAAACTTTCAAGATGAGCTATTATTACCCAAAATTGAGCATCATAACATGTTCCTTCTTCATGTTTTTTGCTTCATTTGTCTCTGCTTTGCCCAAGATGTTTGATATAATAACATATGGTGCAGTACCTAATGGAGACATAACCCAAGTAAAGCCATTGACTTACATGCATGTGTATGAATTTTGTAGAACTGGAAATATAACCTTGATTGCTATAGCTTTAATTTTCTTTAATTATTTTTGGGATGTGAAGGCTTTTACAAATGCTTGGAATGATGCATGTGCATCAAATGTTAGCAGCAAAGTAATGGTTCCAAGAGGAACATTCAAGATGAATGGTCTGCGTTTGAAAGGACATTGCAAGGCCCCTATTGAAGTTAAAGTTGATGGAACAATCCTAGGCCCAAAAATTCCTAGTGACCTCAAAAAGGAAAGAACCTGGCTTAGCTTTTCATACATTAACTCATTCACTTTATCAGGTTCTGGAATTTTTGATGGTCAAGGTGTTAGTCATCCCTGGAAAGAAGATGATTGTACAAAACAAAATGAAGCTTGCAAGCCCTATGTAATTCATATTTAATCTCAATTCTCATTTTTCATTTATCTTTAATTCTGTCAAAAGCTTTGAAATATCCTACTTTTACATAACACATTAATGATTTCTATGCCAACAGAATTTAGCATTCAATTTCATCAACAACTCAATTATTCGAGGGGTAACTACAAAGGATAGCAGAGGCTTTCATGTGAATGTATTGTCATGCAATAATGTAACAATTGATGCCTTCACAGTGAGTGCTCCAGCAGAAAGTATCAACACCGATGGACTTCACATCTCAAGGTCTACCAATGTGAGCGTTATAAACTCCAAAATTGAGACAGGAGATGATTGTGTCTCACTAGGTGATGGAGACAGGCAAATAACAGTGCGAAATGTGTATTGTGGACCTGGCCATGGCATCAGTGTTGGGAGCCTTGGAGGGGACCCGGAAGAACTTCCTTTGGATGGCTTCACTGTTAGGAATTGCACTCTTAATGGTACATCTAATGGTGTTAGGGTTAAGACTTGGGCTGATAAACCAGGAACTATGTTAATCTCCAATCTTCTTTTTGAGGACATCACCATGATCAATGTCCAAACTCCAATCATCATAGATCAAGAGTATTGTCCATCGAAAAAATGCTCCAACAAGGTCTCACTCAACTCTATTTATCTATCTATCTCTATATTCTGTAACATCATTTTGTGACAAACCTATTTTGCTTTGCTTTCCCATATCTACTGTGAGTTTATCTGACAAATTTTATGTGTGTTTTCATTGGCTTTTAGAACCCATCAAAGATACAGATAAGCAATGTGACATTCAAGAATATCAGAGGCACATCAGAGTTTGAATATGCAGTAGTTCTAAATTGCAGTAAAGAGAAACCATGTAAGAATGTGCAGTTTAACAATGTTGACATCAAACTATCCAACGGATCTCTCCCATTAGCAACATGTATTAATGTTGACCCTATAGAAATTGGAAAGACAGCTCCTTCTTGTAAACCTTAGCACCCTAGAATCAAGGCCTCCCATGGCCTCTTTGTCTCCTAGCGTAGGATAGAATATATGCATCCCCGAATTCAGGTGGGTGATGAGTATTTGTAGTTCTTAAGAATAAGTATTGGAAAATTGTGCTGTGTTGTAAAGATTCTTTCCCTACGATAATGCATGCATGGAAACATTATCTCAGACTGTCCATTATTTTATTGAGATTATTTGTTGGGATTGGTTTTTGTTCCCTGAACATTTAGACAACTATGCCCCTTGTATTTACGGCATGGTAATTTTATTATTCCCTTGTGTGTGGTATATAATTATTTTCACCAAACTTTATATGAACTTTTATTTAAGTTTGCGTAGTTGAGAAACTACTCATTATGTTTTCTCCCTGCAGTATTGGAAACATATTTTAACCACTAAAAAACTGCTATGCATTTCATAAACAAATTATATTGTGGATCAATATCACATATCATGATGTCTAACAACATTTCTTTGATCTAAATTTTCAAATGAATTATAAAATAAATTCAAAATTAAAATTTTAGATTCGTAATTGAGATTTGACTAAGTTCATAATATTATTAGTCAGTTAGGGATTTTATTGATTCAAATCTCTAACTATATAGTCAAAATAAAAATAAAATAAAATATCATAATAAATTTTTTTCCTAATGTTAAAAATCAGAATATCTAACATTAGAATTGTCACGTCCTAAAAATTAAGCATAACTGACATGGGATGTAGACACAAATATATATTCCTTAAGCCATGAAAAAGGAAGCCTTAACTTAATATTTAATATTTATTTATAAAACATAATTAGATTTATATTGAAAATTTTTTAACACCTTTACTAATGTTCACCTGCAATAAAAGTTTCAGTATTTTTGTAAAAATTTTGATAGAACCTCCATTGTAAATAGGTTCTCCTAAAAATTTTCCAACACAATGTTTCAATCAAAATATCAATCAATCAAGAGCAAAACTCCTTTTAGCTAGCGGACAAATTATATAACAAAATAAAAGACCTAAGTATAAACTATGCGGAGCACCTAAAAATAAGTTTATAAAATAAAATTTCATAATTAAAACTTTACATTAAAAGAAAACTTAACCGTTAGCTTCTCCACTTCTAGTTAGTAATAGACTCTTGAATGTTCGACAAGTGGTTCATTAGCAGTTACACTATTTGAGACCAAAATTATTTTTAGTGAATAACATCACAATAATAAATAATTAAATATAAATAAAAGGAAAGTTAAAAACCAATGATCTCCGTGAAGATTTAAATAAATTAAAAAATAAAGAATTTTATATAACTTAAATGAAATTTTGAACCATTAAATTATCATATCAAATATTATCACTTGATATCAGAGAAGCAAATAAAAAAAGTGAGTAATTATAAATAGGTTGCTAATTAAAACCAATGGGATATCAAATTATTAAATAATCAAATTCATATTTATAGGGAACTTTTTAGAACAATTAACAAATGTGAACATACAATCCACGAGGGTAACTAACTAGACGTGGTTGAAGCCACGAAACAGACGTGGACATATAGTCCATGAGTGTAACTAACCAGATGTGGTCAAAACCACAAAACAAACACAAGTACTAGACCTACAAATAACAAACGTGAGAACAGAGCTTATGAAAATTTAACTAGCTAGTTATTGACTATGACTCACCAAGGGCTAACGGGACTGACATTAGCAAGTAGTGTTTTGTATAAAGTCCATTTTAAAATTCACTTTTAAACATGCGAAAAAATCATTACTTTCGCAATATAATTTCTCCTCTTAGTATCAAACTTACATGAAACATATAAAACATCAATATTTCTATATATGAAAATTCATAACAAATATCTCATAAACTGTTCACCAATTTTTATAGTTGGCTTTATTAAATAAAGGACTACTAAAATTTATAAAAGCATTTTCATCAACCTGAAAAATATATGTTGACTCCAAGAAATAAACCATTTTAAATAACAAAAGTAGCCAACGCAAAAGAATTATATAAATATTTGTAAATTGTTAAAACAATATTTTGATAAAAAAATTTTAATATATAAATTGATTGAGACGTTATCTACTTACTTGTAGTGTTTTTAAGTGCAAATTCACACTTTAGAGTCAAATCTTTCTTCTTTTAAACAACCTATTCAATGTAGAAGATAATTCAACGATCTTTACTCAAGTTTAATAAACTCTTTTACATTAGCAACAACACCGTGATCACTTAAGTTTTCAACTAAATACAGTTTATGCCTTAATTCCTGCTTATCCTTAATCATGCTAAAATTTCAAACCTCTTCTATCACCAATTTTTATTGAGGCGTATTTCCAAAATCAAGTCTTCAAATAATATTATCATTTATAATCATCAACCATGTAGTTTTTCAAAATTCAATTTGTCCCACAATAGCTTCACAATAAGAAACTTCTTCACAAAACTCAAGTTAAATCCATAAATAACTAACATCTAAAAAATATACCCTTATAAAAGTTAATAAAATTTCAATAAGTTTATAACCAAACAAAACTCATTGTAACTGACACTTTTCCAAATGTCTTGGAAGCACCAACGCTTAAACCATAATAACAAGTTCATTTTTCTTCAAAATTTTTATTCTTAATTCTAACTTCCTTTCAAACATTTTATCAAACATCTCACATGCATTGATATTCAAACAAATACCAATCCTCTTTTTTCTCAATATCTTTTTCCAAAACTTCTAAATATCAATATTTAAATTAACAAATCTTTTTATTCTTTCAACTGAATCAGAAATAAGTTCAGATAGTATTCAAATTCACACTACATCTAGCTCTAAAAATCTCAAACTTTCCAGCTTGCCAAAACCTCTTCTCCTCTGTTCGAACATACACGGCAGCAAAGCAAGAGGAAATCAAAAAATTTGAAATTTAAACACGCACACACAGCAACAGGACCAACAAGGAGGAGGGAGTTCAAAGCTCCTCCCCTTCAATCAGTGGCGGCAGAAGCAAGAAGCAGCAACTAGTTATATAACCATGGAAAAAAGAAAGCTGATCACACACTCGTACGAACACTAGGACAGTAGAGGAAGAAGAAGGCCGAGCAACATAACTCCGATGAGAATAAGGGAGAAAGCACAGTCACCGGCCAAATAAAGGACGAAGGGAAGAGGCCGAGCTTTGTGTGTGTGTCAGGGGAAGAGAAAGAAATCGATGAAACAGAGGAGGAAGGAACTCACTCACTAATGGCAGCACCTACACTGACAGAGAAAGAACAAGAAGGACGTTTCCAATCATCCACAGCCTCCAACAACTCAGCCCCTCATGCACATCGACGACGCAGATACAGCAAGGAAAACAAAACAGAAATAAGAAGAATCACGGAGGACCTGGGCATTTCTGCAAGGCAGCGCTGAGTATCCACGATCGCCAGCGACAAGGACAGAACATTGGAGAAGGAAGGACGAGGAAATAGAGATGCAGAGGGTTTGATTCTGAGCTACTCTCTGTCTCTAGTGACTTCGACCAGTTGGGGAAAAAGAAATGAGAGAAAAATATCTGATTTAAGTGGGGGCCATAGTCGTAATTTCATAAGGCTGAAACGAAAACAAAACTCCTCTTTTGTCGCTAGGATTCGAGCACAAGACTTGACAGGTGCTAAGTGAGTTTTAATTTCGCTAGACTAACCCTCCATTTTGATGATTATGTGCCATATATATATATATATATATATATTAAAATACCTTGCCATAAATTAATACAAATCCAATTAAAATATATTATTATATATTTTAATTTTATTCAAAATTCTTGAATTGTTACTAAAATAATTAAATTTTTTAATTTATCCCTTCCTCTTCATCTCCTCTCTCTATGTATATGTGGGTGTCTGCACACACTCATGCACGCACAAAAATATCAAATTCTTAAAAGTGTCATGGAATGATCATTGTTGTTATTTGTAATTAAAAAAATAAATAATTATTAAAATAATTTATGAAATGTGATTCATAAATTTAAGTAAAGTTAATTGTAAATTTAAGTAATGTTACTTATGAATAAATGAAAAATCAATTGTGAATGGATATATAGTTTTATGAATTTATATATTATCACTTAAAGATAGTCACTTGTAAATTTTTGAAAGGTCAATAGTAAATTTATGAAAATTTATTTGTGAAATAATAGATAGTCTCATAAATTTATGCATTACTTATAATTCAGAGGCAAATAATTGTGAATTTAATGAATATTATTTGTAAATATATAGAACATCAGTTGTTAATCAATATGTATAATCTTAATTATAAATCAATGATTTAGGGCCCTCTCATGCATATTTTTAAATATCCATTCACAACTGAGTAATTGACTTTTTATAAATTCACATGTAGTTCTCCTTCAATAATCTACAAGTGACAATGTCTATATTCTTAAAACTATCTATCCATTCATAATTAACTTTTCATTTATTTACAAGTGATCTTTCTTAAATTCACAATCAATTTTCTTCAAATCCATGAGTGACCTTCTATTGGTTATTTCATTAATTAAAAATATTTTAATTATAATTAAAGACCATAATCTTTTTTGCCATTTCAATATTTTGATATCTTCAATTATCATTAATGTCTTTACAATATCCCTGATTATCTTTTTCCCAAGATTTGAAGTCCTTATATTCAATTGATACTCTCTAACTTCCATCATAATCTATTGAGAATCACTACCCCTTCTTCGCTAGACCTCAAATTGAGCTCTAACTTTCTTCAAATTAAATATTAAAAAATATCCAAAGTAAATTAATTTTATTGGTGTAACTTCGACTTCCTCCCATATATATATATATATATATATTCCTCAAGCTTGGGAATAATCACTTTTGGGCTTACCTTTTCCAACCGTACAATTCATCCTTTTCAAATGTGGTGGTCATCACTTCAAATGTTGATATTTGAGGAAACAGTTTTAGGAAACTTCCAATTTAACTAACACAATCATTTCAGCTTCTTTTCCAATTTTCCATGTATTTTTATAAAAAAATTCCTCCCAGTTAATGAAATGTTAACATATGCTAATTAATTTCGACATGAAGTTTCCCCTTTTTTAATCCCTATGAAATCCTCAAATGATTTCCCATTGCCCCTTGGTGTCATATAAAATAACAATAAATTTAA